AACTGCACAGCACCAAAGCATCCTGCCTGGAGAGGCAGCGTTGTCTGGAGACAGGCTGCTCTGCATAATTAAAACGACCTCACAAAGCTACCACTGCTCTGGGCTTTCCATGTCAGCTGCTTCTGAAAGTGCAACTCCTGAAAGCCAGCCTTTTAATGCTGGAGTCGAATATGCATTTATCAGCAAAGCTGAACTGTTAAAGGGATTACAAGAAGCTTAGAATCCACTGGCAGTTCATTGATCTGGTCTTGCAAGCCTCATCTCCACACGCCCTTTAGAAATGGCTTTGGTCTGTCCCCTGGTTCTTGGTTGCCTTTGATTTTTTATTTCAGCACCATTCTCATCCAAGGGAGAGGGGCTGCTTCCTCTAGCCTTGATTCCAAAAGGTTCTCAGATTCCTTTCTTCTAAAACTAAGGGAAGCTATTTGCATATTTCCCTAGATAGTGATAGAGACCAGGGATTGGCTAATATTTTCTGTAAAGGGTCAGGCATAAATGTTTTTGGCTTTGCTGGATATACAATTGGTTGCAACTACTCAACTCTATCTATGGTTATAGCCGGAAAACTGCCACAGACAATATGTAAACTAATGGGAGTGGCTTTAATCAGATAACTATTTATGGACACTATAATTTGAATTTCATGTAATTTTCATATGTCATGAAATAGTATTCTTTTGATTTCTTCCCCCCACCCATTAAAAATGTAATGTGAGCCAAACAAAACAGGAGAAGGGTTGGATTTGGCCAGCAGGGTGTAGTTTGTCAACCCCTGGTCTACACCACTGCTATTGAAAGTGTGGTCCCTGGACCAGCAGCATCAGAATCACCTGGGAACTTGTTAAAGATGCAGAATTTTATGCGCCTGCCTCCACCCAGAATCAGAATCTGCATTTGAACAAGACCTCCTGGTAATTCACATGGAAGTTTGAGAAGTCCTGGTCCAGACCACAGAATTTAGAGGTCACACAGAATGGGAATACCATTGACTAGCTGGCTGTAGAGCCTTAGGCGAGCTGTTTAACCTCTCTGAGACTCAGTTTCCTTATCTATTAAAATGGGTAGAAATAATTGCAATCATCTCCAAAGACTGTTGTAAGGGAAAGATAGGAAGGAAGCCAAATACCTGCCTGGCTTTTCAATGCTTTAAAAGTGCTGGCTAATGTCCCAGAAGGCTGTCTTTTTAAAATTGTATGTGGAAAGATGAGAATGCCCACTCAGGATTTGCAAGCTACAATCACTTCTGGGACCTGACAGGTCACCTAAATTTTGAAGATGTCCTTGACTGCAACTGGAATGCTGGAGACCACGGTGAGCCAAGATCAGCCCCCTCCAAAGGGACTGCACTCCTGCCTGACAGTTACTGTCACGAAGTAACAGTCCCATGTTCACACACACTTGTATTTTCCGACAGAAGCTGGAGCCTGGATTTTAAGGTTAGAAAAAGCCCCCTTGTTTAACACACTGTGCAGACCAAACAAAAGCCATCTGCAGGCTGGAGGTGGCCCAAGGCCCTCTCTAGTTTGTGACCTCTGCCTTAGAATAGAGAAGTAACAAGAGGAGGTGAGTCACAAGGACATGAGCCTGGGTTTCAAAGCCAAATCCCAGCAGCTCTGAGCCTCAGTTTCCTCATCAGGAAAAGAACCACATCTACTTCACAGGGTTTGGTGAGGGTCAAAGAGAAATGTATGTAAAACCAGGAGGCAGGCACAGCTCCGGACGGTCAGTACTCACCGTTAGTACTGCTGATGTTGTCTTGCTAGTATTTTAATTCATCAGTGCCTAGGCATTCCAAGGGTAAACCTTCACTGTAAAAATGGCTGTTTTTCTCTCCCTGCTCAATCTGGTGGTAAGCAAGCACAACGAACCCCTGCTCAGAATGCTGTCTCACACTAGAGCCTGCGAGTGCTTAGTTATTAATGATTGTGCTCTGGCCGTAGCCACGAAGATGCCTTAATAGGCCAGGCCTCTTTGGGGTTAGCCCTAGGCTGCCTGGAGGTGCTTTTTCTCAGGGCTTGGTCACCTGTAGGGAGCAGTACCCACCTTTGCTCCCCAGCTGTCCCAGATCAGATGGAGGACAGCTGACAACTGTGAGCCCTCTGCCCTCCTTTAGAAATCTTTAAAAAAATCCCCGCATTTGCCACCGAAAGGCGTGGGTGAAACAGGGAGAGTGTGGAACATCCCCATGAACTAAGAGACTTCCACAGGACCTTAGGCATCTTCCCCACACAGAGTGCGCCCCAGGGTGTGGAGAGCCCCCAGCATGCGCAGTGCCCAGGGTTCTAAGTCAGGCTCCTCCACCTTTGATGGCACAGGAATCCCAGAGGGGCCTTGTCAAAGTGGGGCTCAGGCTCAGAAAGTCTAGGGCAGGGCCTGAGGCTTTGCATTTCTAACGAGCTTCCAGGAGATGGCGACACTGGTAGTTCCTGCCCAGGGTTTGAATCTGCAGGATCCTCCTCTCTGGCTTCATTTAGGTCTCTGCTCAAATGTCACTTCCCCAAACAGTCCTTTCCTAGCCACCTTATCTAAATGTAATTAGTGTTCAATGAGGGCAGGTATCCTGTCTGTTTTGTTCCTTGCCTATCCCCAGCACCAGCAGAGTGCCTGGCATGAAGCAGGCCCTCAAATATTTGTTCAGTAGAGAAATCCCAGTGTGACGGCTGAGGAAAATGAAAATCAGGGAGCCTCAGCCTTTTGCCCAAGGTCACAGGGCTTGTCAAAGCCAGAGCAAGACACCAGCCCAGCTCTGTCTAGACTTCAAAGCCCTCGCTCTCTCCTCCACACCAGAGGGGGAAGCAAAGTTTGTTTACAACACGCTTCCTCCCTAGAACTTAGTGCCTTTGTGCTGGGGGCAGTAACACAATTCGGTTCTGCTTTGAGGAGATGCCTGCTGTGTAGACAGTGGACTTCAGGGGGACCAGTGTGGAAGCAGAGCGGCTAGTGGAGAGGCCAAGTGGAAATACTTAGAGTGCCTTGTGGTTTGGGGTCAGGGAGTTCACTCTCCGTGGGTCAGCCAGTTGGCCAGCCTTTTCCTCCCATCTGGGCACAACTGTCTCTCCAAGCAGAGGGGTGGAAAGTGAGCACACTATGGATTTCAAACTGCCAAAAAGAATATTGTACTGTAACCCTCTTCTCTGAAAGGTCACCCCAAAGTATGCCAGGGGGGAAAGGAGGGGCAAAAGCAAGGGGCTACTTCCTTCCCACCAATGGGTAGAAATGCCATAAACACCCCATTCATGGAGCCCAAGGAGGCCTTTCTGCTGCTAGTGAGGAAACTGCTTCACATGAAAACCTGTCTCAGCTCATGAAAGGGTCTGTTGCCCAAAGAAAGGCGCCATAACGGGCTGAAAATGCAACACCTGCTCTTCTAGCACACAGTCAGCCGGTGAAAGAGGCTTCGGGTTCTCCGGGAAGCGGTGGTCCTGGAAGTCAGTCCAGGACACCCAGCCGCCTCAGATAAGCTATGCTTCCTCCTGAGAGTGCTGGACAGGAAGCTGGAAATAACAAGCAAAAGTCGCTAATATTTATTGTGGGCCTAGTACTGGGCAAACAATCACACCATGAAGTAAGGTCATGTTCCCACTTAACGGTTAGGAAACCGAGAACTAGGGAGAGTTAAGTGACTGACTAGAAGCAGAGGTCACGTGGACCGAAGGAGGGAAGCCAGGTACAGCCCATACTGTGCCACTGCCCCACAGGCCGCCAGCCCGTGAGCCCAGTGCTGCAGAATCAGGGAAGCTGAAGATCACTGTCCGTTTATCACTCTGTCCCTGACCCCCATTCAAGCACAAGGTGGATGGAGAAGGGTGCAATCAGCACTCCTGGACCCCGGATTTGGTTGACAAAATAAAACTTCTACACCTATTCCCACGTATCACCCACTTTCACAGTTGGGCCCCACAGCGGTAGCCCAGAACACACCTATTTAAGCCACAGCATTGGCAGGGCTGATGGACGCCTAAGTCGGCCCATTACATATTTATAAGGTCCCCTGGCCCTGCCTCTGACACACACATTATTAAATGCTCGGGAGCCACAGGGCTGGGCTCAGTGTCCTGAAACAAAGGCAAAGAGGCTGCCAGACCCATCTGAGGCAGGAACAAAGCATTTAATTTCTGAAGGAGCCAGTTGGGAGTTTCCTTATAACTGGGTGCCCAGCACACGTCACGGACTGGGAGAAAGTGGAGACGCACACACAAAAGGAGAGGGAAAGATCAAAGCAGGCTTTTCTCCCTGGTGTCCAGAAACAGCCCTCTTCAAAGGGGCATAGGAGCGGTGGGGAAAGATGCAATAATCAAAGAGAGAACGGGTTCTGAGGTCGGAGAATTTTCTCCTGTCACTGCTTTTTCCTTTCCATGAAGTTGCCAAAAAGGATCCACCTCTTCTCTTCATATCTCCAAACTGAGAGCCGGCAAGCCTGCACCCCAACTTTTCCCAACCGGAGCCCCAGCAGCCAGATGCACTGGGAGGGCACCGCGATCCCTTGTCTCCCAAACATAATCATTCCAATCCAGGCTGGGGCTGCCTGGAAGTCAACATTCACGGCACATTAATAAGAAACATCTGGCCACCGAAGAGGGTTGACACAGCGCAGACGGGCAGTGGTGGATTTGCGGTTGGGACCCAGAGTTACAGGGGCTGAATTAAAAACACAATTGGAAAACACCAGCAGTGGCTCTTGGAAACAATTCCATGCCAAGTCGAATTGTTTGGGGCTGAGTGATTTAGATACAGAGTATGGGTTTGAGGGACCCAACACTCCCACATCAGGGAAACGCTCCCCTGCACCCCCCAGTGTCTGGCCACCACTTCCACCTCCAATATTTGTAGCAGATGTAGTCCCACTCTTAAAGGAATAGCCTTTGCATTCTTTCCATGTGGCTTACAAGTGAGATTTACAAAAGGAGAGAGATAGATGTGCGTACGTACATTTCTCCACACACGCACCCACCTATAACGCACCCCTTGTGCCTTTAGAAATCAGATTTAAGGCGTCCTACCTCCATTGATGCAAGGCAAACCCGGGGCACTGGTCACCACAGGCGTTACATGGCTGGCCTCTCTCGATCCGCCCCAGTCCGGTCAACTTCAAAACAAAAAGACAACACACTATGTTTCGACCACAGAAGCTCCCTCCAAAGCCCCACTCGTGTCCCAGGCAGTGTCCCAGGCGGGAAGCCCTACTCTTCCCACCCGGCTCCCATGTTCCTCTCAGAGGCGGGGGACCTGGGGGAGGACGCTGCCAGCGCCCCAGGGTGGTCTCCTGCCTGGGACGGGTGTTCCCACCCAGGGGGCTGCCTCTGGTGAGGGGCACCGAGCCACCAAGAAACGGCCATGGCTGGGGCTTTGTCTCCCTGAGACACCTTGGTCACGGGTTTCTAAGAAACAAAAGCAAGACCTTTCCAAGAGTCCCCGGGAAGCAACAGTGGCGCGCGCTCGCCTCGGAGCAGCCTGGTGCTCCCGGGAAGGGGCAGCACAGGACACCCCAAAAGACAGACCCAAAGTCAAGTCCGCGGCTGGAGCGCCAAGACGCCCAGACGCCGGACGCGGGCGCTTTCGCGGTGGGCTTGGGGTCTGCCTTAGGGGAAGGGGCGAGGGAGAGGGCTTTCGGGGGAGCCCCGAACTGCGACGCGGGGGGCCACAGCTCCCGTCTCCCTCTCGCCCGCGCTGGGGATCCGACTTAACCCCTCCTCGCCCGGAGCCCCCGCGCTCAGGACGCGCCCCGCCCGCCAGCGCCCG